AGCCAGCCCATTGTGAGGAGGCCACCGAAATTGGAGGCGCCCATCGCGTCACCCGCCGCGATGCCGAAAGACACGGCAGGGTTCAAGCTGCCGCCGGAGACGCTGCCGATGGCGAAGCCGCCCACGGTGACGCAGGAGCCGATGGCGAGCCCGAATACCTCCGAGTAGTCACCTTTGCTCGCGCTGGGCGAGCAGGCGACGCTAAGCACGACGAAGCAGAGAACGAAAGTGAAGAAGGCCTCGGCCCCGGCCACCTCGCCCAAGCCAAATCCGTCTTTAGGGCCGAGGGGAAAGCTCTTCCCTCCGTGGATGGCAGTGTAAGTGCAGGCCGCCAGAATCCCGCCGAACACCTGTGCGCCGCAATAGATGACGGCCTCCTTCGCCTCGATCTTCTTGATCGCCAGGATCGCAGCAGTCACCGCCGGGTTGAAGTGGCCCCCCGACACGTCGCCCAGGGCGAAGATCATGACCATGAGCGACGCGGCGATAGAGAAAGCCCCAGCAGGGGACTCCGCCAGGACGTTGAGACCCACCGTCAGCACAAGCATGTAGGTTCCGAGGACCTCCGACGTCACCTTGGCCTTCAACCCAGCCGCCTCCCCCTCCTCGAAGGCCTTGGGCCGCACCACCTTGAAGAGTGATGCCGCCATCGCAGCGCCGCCTAATTCGAAGACGACGTACAGCGGAAAATAGCCCGAGCTCGAACCGCCTCCAACTATACCAAGCGCAACGGCGGGGTTGAAGCAGCCGCCAGAGACGGCGCCCGCCCCGTACGCGCCCGCCACGATCACGAAGCCAATCGAGAGGCCATAGAACTGATGCTTGCCCGCGTTCGCCGCGGAGCAGGCGGTGTTGAGGACCACGAAGCAGAGCATGAACGTATAGACGAGCTCGCACACACCCGCCTGCCACCAGGAGAAGCCGCCCGCAGGTCCGAGGGCAAGGGGAGCCCCGAACATCAGGTGGGAGAGAAGGCCCGCGAGCACGCCTGCCGACGCCTGCACCACCGAGTAGACGGCCACGTCCTTCCAGGGCAGCTTGCCAGCGATGCCAAGCGTGACGGACACCGCAGGGTTAAAGTTCGCCCCCGAGATCGGCGCCAGGGCGTAGATGCCGACCATCAGGGAGCAACCGATCGACACCCCGGCCCAAGTGCTCTGCTTGCTGAGCACATTGCACCCGACGGTGAACACCAGAAGGAAGGTGCCAACGAACTCGGCGATGTACGCCTTGGCCGGGGCCACTGCGGGCGCAGCGACCGGTTCTGCAAGCAGTCGGGCATTATACGGAAGAAGGCTTTTAGGAGTAGTCTTGGCTTGTCCTTCTCCTCGTGCGGCGTGCGTCTGGAAGTACACCAGTGCCGCGACGCCCGCGCCGGCCAGCTCGAAGACGGTGTAGAGCCAGCCCATTGTGAGGAGGCCACCGAAATTGGAGGCGCCCATCGCGTCACCCGCCGCGATGCCGAAAGACACGGCAGGGTTCAAGCTGCCGCCGGAGACGCTGCCGATGGCGAAGCCGCCCACGGTGACGCAGGAGCCGATGGCGAGCCCGAATACCTCCGAGTAGTCACCTTTGCTCGCGCTGGGCGAGCAGGCGACGCTGAGCACGACGAAGCAGAGAACGAAAGTGAAGAAGGCCTCGGCCCCGGCCACCTCGCCCAAGCCAAATCCGTCTTTAGGGCCGAGGGGAAAGCTCTTCCCTCCGTGGATGGCAGTGTAAGTGCAGGCCGCCAGAATCCCGCCGAACCCCTGTGCGCCGCAATAGATGACGGCCTCCTTCGCCTCGATCTTCTTGATCGCCAGGATCGCAGCAGTCACCGCCGGGTTGAAGTGGCCCCCCGACACGTCGCCCAGGGCGAAGATCATGACCATGAGCGACGCGGCGATAGAGAAAGCCCCAGCAGGGGACTCCGCCAGGACGTTGAGACCCACCGTCAGCACAAGCATGTAGGTTCCGAGGACCTCCGACGTCACCTTGGCCTTCAACCCAGCCGCCTCCCCCTCCTCGAAGGCCTTGGGCCGCACCACCTTGAAGAGTGATGCCGCCATCGCAGCGCCGCCTAATTCGAAGACGACGTACAGCGGAAAATAGCCCGAGCTCGAACCGCCTCCAACTATACCAAGCGCAACGGCGGGGTTGAAGCAGCCGCCAGAGACGGCGCCCGCCCCGTACGCGCCCGCCACGATCACGAAGCCAATCGAGAGGCCATAGAACTGATGCTTGCCCGCGTTCGCCGCGGAGCAGGCGGTGTTGAGGACCACGAAGCAGAGCATGAACGTATAGACGAGCTCGCACACACCCGCCTGCCACCAGGAGAAGCCGCCCGCAGGTCCGAGGGCAAGGGGAGCCCCGAACATCAGGTGGGAGAGAAGGCCCGCGAGCACGCCTGCCGACGCCTGCACCACCGAGTAGACGGCCACGTCCTTCCAGGGCAGCTTGCCAGCGATGCCAAGCGTGACGGACACCGCAGGGTTAAAGTTCGCCCCCGAGATCGGCGCCA